ATGCCCCTAGATGGAATGTCGATCATGAACTGATTCGATCCAATTAACATTTGTATAAACAACAATAGACCAAAAGATGTGATGAGTGAAAACAAACCTGAGCCTGATGTACCTTTTAAGTAGTGGAGAATCTGGTTGATGACTTGGAGCTGGTGCTCGTTGGGGTCATGCATGAATTGACTCACAATTCCAATTGTCTGGCATATGTTACGGCAAGTATGAGCGATGTAGATGAGTTTTCTCACAATGTGCTAATAATGAGTCTTGTTGACAGGAACAATATTGAAAATGTCAAACAATTTTTCATTAGGAACCATGAGAACAACAGAAGGTTTGCACAGAAGAAAGTTGTTCTCTGTCAAGAGATCAGTTACATATTTGTGCTGAGACAAGCAAATTACCCGAGATAACTGCGTCACTTCCATGCCTAAGAAATTCTGGAGGGATTTCAAGTCCTTCATCTTGAAGGGCGAAGCAAGAATATCTTTTAAAGACTAATGCTAGAAAATCGTTACTTTTAAGAACAATATCGTCAACATAGATAATAAGGATAGCTAACTGACCATTTGAAGAATGTTGGAAGAAGAGGGTTTGATTCTATTGAGCTACAATAAAACCATAGCCCACAATCACCCTTGTGAACTTGCCAAACTAGGTCTTTGTGGACTGTTTTAACCCATAGAGAGACTTTCGTAGCCTGTACACTTGTCATCTGGAGGCAATATAATCAAAACCAAAAGGAAGAGACATGTACATCTCTTCTATCAACTCTCCATTCAAGAATATATTCTTGACATTTAGTTGAAATAAAGACTAATCCAGATTCAAAGAACTCGTAGATCTGAGTGTATTCTTTGATGACTAATTTTGCCTTATTGCGTTCAAAGGATCCGTCAAAGTTGAACTTGGTGCTAAAAATTCATCGGCACCTTACAACTTTCTTAACCTAGACAGGTACACGAAGTCTCCAGTGAAGAAGATGACTATTTTCGGGGTTGTGCTAAGTATAGTAGCAGTGGAAGATCTTTATTTGGATCAGATTGATGTACAAACAACTTTCTTACATGGAGATCTAGAGGAGAAACTATATATAGTGCAACCACATAATTACAAGGTTACAGACAAAGAGGTTTGGTTTACAGATTGAAGAATAGTATCTATGGCTTGAAGTAGGCCCTGAGACAATGGTACAAGAGGTTTGAAAGTCTCATGTCAGATAATGGGTACATTAAGTATCAGGCAGACTGTTGTTGTTTCATTAAACACTTTGGTAACTATTACATTTTGCTTATTTTGTATGTGGATGACATGTTAATTGCAGGGACATATATGGAAAAATCAGAGACTTGAAAAAATAATTATCAAGTGAGTTCGAGATGAAGGATTTAGATACAACAAGAAAGATCCCTGGGATGAGAATAAGTAAGGACAAGAGCGCAGGAACACTGAAGTTGTCTCAGATAGAGTATGCTGAAAAGATCCTACAAAGGTTCAACATGAGTGAGGTGAAACCAGTTAGCACTCCCTTAGGTAGTCACTTCAAACTATCT